TCCGTGATTAGAATTGGCTAATTGAACCAACGATAATCATGTATTTTGCTTCATTTCCGTAGAATTCTAGGAGATTCGCATTATAGAAGCGACGTCAAGACTTTACACACCTTTACATGTCCCTATGATCGTCCGTTCACGATTAACATAATTTTGCCTTTCCGTAGTTCATCATAGGCATCCCAAACAGATGCACTGTTACTGCTTTATTTTCCTTATCTTCCTTATAAGTTGTTTGCATAGTCAGTTGGCTATCTTAGTAGCCACCCAAGAAGATATCTGGTAGGAAAGGACTAGACGGGGCTAGTGACAACCATCCTCCGTCCGCCTCTGCTGCTGGCAGCTCTCCTCCGCAACGGCCTTTTCTAAGGTCGCTGAAAATTATGCTGTCGTGGCTGCACGCGCTCATAGAAAAGCCAGAGGCGTCGGCAATACTTTAGCAAGAGCTGCCTCGAAGAGTTAATACGACATTCCGTCGAAATGCGTCGTCATCACCGTCCATTGCCGAAATGCGTCGTCGTCACCGTCCATTGCCAAAATGAAGTTGTTTATAGCATTATTGTATTAATATCACCACTATTATTAGGATGATTATTAGTTTTATTACTATTACGATGACTTCTAGGTGCGGATGGTTCCTCGGACCGCCCTTGACTAGGGTAATTCGACAGCAGATGACACCTTGGGCTGCCTTCGCTCAACGACAGAAAGCGATGAAGATAACAACACCAACAATATCGACAGCGACAATGTGAAAGCTTCCAGGAGTGTAAACACTCAAGGTTAAGAACGATGGAAGTCCGTATGCGCTCTTCGTGTGCCTACTGCAACGTTCGCCATATACGGCTGCCTCGGTCTGTACCACAACTGCCATTGCCGCCACCGCTCTTACCTATAGACCTACATAGCGGGCGCGGAGCATCAGCAAGGCGTTAGGTCCTTGTGCCTCGTAAATTTGAATTTTAATGCTGAAATGGAACGAGCGAAGGCTGGTTGGTTGGCAGTCAGCTCCAGGAAACTGGCAGTCGGGAACGAGTAGCAGGAACGGGAATGAGAAGACGAGCTTTGAACCTAGCAAAGTGTATCTTGGGAATTTGGGCAGGCTGGGAGGGCGATGGAGAAGCAGACTAGTACACGAAGGAATATGGATGCTGAAGGCCTTCTAATTTGAAGGGTCCTGGTATCGGCCATAAGCTGTTTAGGTTAATTTCCAACTCTGGTTTCCGTTTTATCAGAGGGAGTGCACAAAGACCTTTATTGAGGGGATGCTTTTCACCAACGGAGTGCTGAACCCGACGAACGGAACAGTAGGCTGAGGGTATCGCTGGGAGAGGATGGGGTCAGCGTAGACGAAAGAACTTGCAGCGACTATTCTTCGATCACTAGTGCTGCTGTGCAACGAAGCAATGTGAAATAATTAACGATGGCCAGTGCTTTCCCTTCGAACGACCTAGTTCAATGAGTGTCTAGACTTCACTACCTCCTGGTTTTTCCGAGACTTCGCTTAGAAGCTTCTATTGGGCAATCGCGCACCGCAGACTGTACACTGAAGCTTATAAGAACTTCAACAATTGTTCGTCGAGAACAATTTAATATTGCTAGCTCGATACTTGAAATATACGTTTTCTGTATTTGGCTATACCTACGACAAGCCATCTTGTATATTATCAGTGGTTCAACAACTACAAGAGTTACCTTCTAAAGCATGAGACTCAGTTGTTCACTTATATATATAAAGTTGTATACTGGTTGTTGGAAGTGTGCCCGTTTATCCAAAGATAACTGAACAGATTAGACCACAGGTTATCCAGATCTTTCGTAACACTTTAAATAGAGGAGTATTCAAAAAATATTTTTTAGCTACTATGCAACTTGATCAATAGCAGGAGCAGGTTTCGTCTCAGAAGACACGGGATCCACCATAACGTTGAGTAGTTAATTCGTTTACGTTACATGACCCGTCAAACTCTACATAAAGTTAGGAAGCATGGGCGGTCATAATTTTGCCATAACATGAGGAATTATTGATTAAAAAGAAAGTGTTCGAACACGAAACTTGTCAATAGGACAAATGTGTCTGTAACAAAACAGCTGAAATTATCGTGTCACTTAATTATCGTGTGACGCTACTACAAGAAGCATGGTCCGCTTTGGTGGTCTGTAAGCCCATTTGCTATTGAAGTATATTGTATCGCATATATTTAGCATTGAGGTAGTGGACCAGCTGTAGGGTTCAAGATGATCGTTTGAAGTTGCACGATATGTTTACTAGCTATCATACTACTGAACCTTGGGGGTATATATAGGTAAATATACAATACAAAATACAAACTTTTATTTTGACTGCTAGCGCTTAGATTTCTATATGTCTAGCACCCATCCACGCAAAGCGAGGAATATTCAAATAAAATAGCAAACATAAGATTAAATAGTAATATCTGACCCTCTGATTGACAATGGCATTGCATTGTCATTAGACTGTTTTCCTTAGAGGTTTTTTATAACAGTTAAAAAAAAACGCTTTGAGGTGTACGTTTGACACTGCCATTAAACACTGCTCAAGACGGCTGGCTCCCAGCACGAAACGCAGTGTTTCTACGCCCGGTTACAAACCGCAACGTGTCTGTCTCGACGTTTGGTAGACAGGTACGCTACCACTGCAGCGTCACGCGGACTCTCTACCACCACTAGAATTTTTACCATAAACCTTCCTCCGAGTGCGGTTGCGGCCTAGGATATCGACGCTTTAAGAACGAAACTGCGTAAGACGTCGTTTTTAATGTCCAGCGCCACATAAATCGGTAATTACCGGCTGTTACTTTTTTGACCGTTGTTGACATGCTGCCTAAGCTGCCGAAATCTGCTAGAAGTATATAAATGTAATTTTACTTTGCTTTCCTATAACAATAAAACTGTGAGAAAAATGTACAAGCATTAAACCATATACCTTACAGAACTTCATTTGCCAAAGAAAATTAGTGCGCCAGACCAGGTGAGGTATTTTTGTCCTCGGAAAAGAATTCAAAATGTTCGGCGGCTTTATAAGAGGCATAAGTATAAAGCTGTAGACGCTCCTATACGCAATAGAGCTTCTCTGTTGTCTAATCAGCTTTCCTACAACGGCTGATTCACGTAAAATACTAGCAACGATCATCGAATATCAGCAATATCTACAGTGATCCACGTCTACTGTAGGTTAGCTACACGATATCGACGGTTAAAATTAGGTTACTTCTTGTCAAGTATAGCATATGAATGCATAGAAGAATGATTTTAGCAGACGTCGTCAAGGTTTTGTTGCCTGCAACTACTTCATGTTCAATTTATGGCCTATTCCATCAGTCACTGAAGGTACATCAATAATAAACAAAATAAGCAAAGGGAAGCATTTCTCTCGCTAGCCGAGTTCGATGTTAGTTTAAATGAACGCGAGAAACTAGCTAAAAAACGACAATATTTTGTTAAAGTTCGCAATAGTATCTTGCAGTGCTTGGTGTGGACTCTCCATTCTGCAGATGATGTTTAGCCAGTTTTCGACCGCTTTCCCTTAAACAATCTGCTTATCTTTAACGCTTTGGTCTGTTGCATAGAACTGCAAATATCTATACTGAGCATAACTAAATTCATGATGTCGCTTAGATGGCCGCGTTCCGAACCTACAGCGAATGACATAAAGGTCAGACAGACAGCCTGATCAGGCATGGGAACGTATCCACGCAGCATTGAACCTTTTGCGCCCTAATTTTTATGCTTCCTGTCGTTGGCAATGCGACTGTTTTTGTTTTTGGTAGGTCATCATGTGTATGTGCAATTTTGGCTACACGAAAAAACTACCCCATAATACCTGCCAGTGTCATCTCATGAAGTACAATCATTTGAAAACATGTGTCTACTTTAAAACACCCTACAGTCATTTAAATGCACATGATTTTAAACTCAGCTGGCTCAGCGGTCCACGTTGACTTCACTAGTGCAGCAGCTCCAAACCACTGCTTTTGTGTAATTTATGCACGGAATACCTTCGGCGTGTTGTTATGCTGCTTAAAGCGAAGCTTAAAGTTGTAAATAAACAATCTTCAACCATCCCCGAAAATCAATGCGAAAATTTTCTATCCAATGGAGGTCCCAGACTTCGAAATGGAGTTTTCTCGAATCGCAGGAAGCGTCGTCTCGCCCAACCGACAATCGACATTACTCACTGACATAAGTGGAGCATTCGTTCTCTCTGAGCCAAAAGAAGGGAATCGACTTTTGAGTCAATTCAACGCGTCCAAATGGATCCCCTGTATTGGAACAACGTCAAATACCAGCGGCGGCAATGGTTGCCGGTTGTTCTGGTAACAATGACACACAAGGAGAAGTTGGTCCCTTCCCTTTGGATTTTTCCTCGGAAGTCTTCTATCGGCTCTAATCCCTTGGGCGGCTTGATTCCACCCAATTGTTAGAAACCGTTGGGGATGGGTCAAGATGGGCGAGAGGGCACTCAGGCTACAGAAAACTCTCTTCTATCATCATGTCAAGTAGGTGATGTTGTTCAGAGCAAACAACGACCCCGCGGTTACAAAGTTCAGCAGTTCAGAGTTACGATATATGCTTGACCTTGTTACTGCTTACTGCATAGGTCTGCCAGCGGAAGTCTAAGAGGTAGTGCAATAACATTTTTACTCCGTAGATTACAGGGGGAAAAGAAGAGGAAGAACCTCGTTAGCTTCTATATATGTACTGAATGGCAAACCTGGGGCCAGTTCGTACTGTGAATTTTCGTTGAATTTAGGAAGAAAAGAGCATTTTTCTGAATCATTCTTGACAGAAGACCGAACATTTATAGTTTATGTTTGTCTATTTAGGATATGTAACCCAAAGTACATCAACTTGTCGCGCGAAACAACCTTGTAACTGGTTTCGCCGTTGTTGATGAAATGTGATGCTCTTCTTGTATTGAAATCTGTTCCTAACCACTTGTTACTGTTTTTGTGTTATGCTTTGCTATGCGATTGCAGTTCCTGTCAGCGTACAAGTCAGTGCTAGTGAAAGTGAACCTCCGTTGCACGGTAACACATCGCTGACGTGCCGGGTAACGGCATGGCCTCACCGCATGCTCCTGGTCTGGTCTCGAGGACCCCTGGCCTCTGGCCCCAGCGATCCGTGGTGGTTGGCAGTGGGACGAAATGAGACCACTGTCACAACATCTGATTCCATCAGTGTTAATAACGCGACTAGCAGCAGCGGCAGTGGCGTCAGCGCAAACGAAAGATCGACTACCATAAGTGTAACTAGTAACGGTGGCGGTAGTGAATCCCAGTCACCGGCATCACTGCCGATAGCAGATTCAGGAGTGACAGCTAACAGGGGCAACGGGGCACATCGAATTGTTGATCTTACTCACGATTCGCATGCGCAGGTCGTAGGCGACGGTACGGTCCAGGACGATGATGTAACGAGCTCGTCGCAGCTACTCCTTAACGACCTCTCCAGAGAACAGAATGCCACGTACTATTGTTATGCATACAACGCTGAAAACAATATGACCGCCATGTCTTCCCATCATGTACAAGTTATTGGTAAGCATTGTTACGATAATGACAAACAACATATCTATACACGGATATACCACTCACTACCAGTACACTTGGACGAACATCGCTATTTCTATGTTCTAGGTCATTCATTCGCAAAAATTCTCGTTTTCGCTGGAACAATGTCCTACTACCGTCCTATTTTACGTGCCTTCATATTATACGAGCAGATATAAAGGAGAAGAGAATGAAAAGAGTCCTCGATATTGCAGCAGAGACATCAGCCACCGTTTGGCTGTTAGCCGAATCAATGCAGAGAGACCCTCACAGAAACTTCGTATGAACTCCAGTGGGGCCATGACAGGGAGCATGTCCACAGTGCAAATTCACTCCCCGGGTATTAGGCGTAGAGGGCATTGATGTTAAAGGCGGGGAACTCCACTATGTAAAGAAGGGATATATCGGATATTTCAAGAATGGTGAGCAAAATTTTCTATTATGCGATACGCCATTTCACCATCAAACGAGCATTCAACACGTGAGTTCCTTATACCGAAATATTTGGTTCGTTAAATGTAAGACAGTGAGACATTTGAGTGTCGTAGTTGAACACCCTCTAGCTTAATCTGTTTATTAAATCGATGTAGAGGACAGCTCTAATGCATATACTACATTAATAATAGTCCCACTCGTAATAAGACTGACACATTCATAGACAGGTTCCATTATATTAACAGTTTCTTATATTGATGTGGTAGGTATAGTAAAAAAAAAAAAAAAGCAGTAATTATCAATAAGGCTCCGTCGAACGCTAACTGTGGTACTGTCGTAATATTTAGTTTGCCGAATTGACCTAGCACTATAATACCTACTTCTATATACTAGAATATCTAAACTTTGTGTGTTTTTCATCTTTTGTTAGTCTCTCTCTCACCGTAGTAGCTCTGGTACTATGCCCATTCGACTATGAGAACATTTTGTGGTCAAAATAAGGGATGTTTGCTCTGAAGTTGAATGTTCCAATTCAGAACCAACTTCTAACTGTGGGCGTAGCGCCGCAACTGTATTTAGTACTCACGTTAAGACCTTAATTCAGCTTAGCGACAATACAAAGTCACATAAAGAATCAATGCCAATTACCTCGAACTTTACACAGCGAAAGTGTCCAATTGGAACCATAATAACTGTTGGAAGAAATATTGCAATATTGGCGAAATAGAAACCTCAGTTGCTCTGCTAATGGCAATAGTAAGAACAGCAGCTCACTTTCACAACGACCCTGCGATAACTGAAACTTCCAGAGCGTAGAGATCTCGGAGTCAGCACGTAGTACTTAAATCATCATAGTACTTCTACGCTTAGGGTCCCTTCCAACCACGCAACGTAGCTAACATTTGTAGAACAAAAATGTAATATCACATGGGCAAAGGAAAGCTGATTTTAAAATATAAGGAAACTGATGAATCACTGACTATTTAACTGCAATATGATTCAGTCGCCTTCGGAACAAGGGCTCCAAAGACGGCCCGCAACAACATTACTGATAATGCCCTTTGCCGAGTTTCTTAACTACTTGAGATTGACTCTATTTTTGAACCTCGTTTGAATAAAGGCCGGACGCAGCCAAGTAATTGTCCAAGAACACTGAAAAACACTCAATATGTACATATCTATAATACCGATTTGTAATTTAGGGCTGAAGGCTAGCCGCCGTGGTGACATGACTTTCTGCCTTATTTCTGTTGTTTTTTTTTACCATTTTTGAATTGTCACAGAACCTCCCGAGCTCAACTTCAACAAAGTAACGGCGGAAGACAGTCGAACGGTTAAATTGCGATGGCAGGTTCGCTACCCCAACAACCAGCCTGTGGCGCGCTATCACCTACAGGTAAAGAATTACAGCGCAGAGGTTGATTGGTTGGATGTACACAACGCCATCCCCGCCAATACAACGTCATACACCGTGGGCTATCTTGCCCCCGGTGTCACTTATGGCTTCCGAGTCGCAGGCGTTAACAATGTAGGCGTCGGCGAGTGGGTTGCTAGAAATATCACGATGCCTCCAGACGGTGAGTACACTATCAGATACACACATACGTATATATAGGTATGAAGTAAGAATCTTCTAAACGACGTCGCATGCTTCCCAAAGATCTCGCGATCTCTAATTTTAACAAAGTTAACGAAATCACCGTCACCCGTTCAACCATTGAGCCGATTGAACACGCTTTTAACACGATTTAACACGATTCCGCTTACTAAAACCTAGCGACATAGTACGGTCGGGAGAATAAGGGAAAAGGGGTAAACAGCTCTACTCTATGAACGTGTGCAATTTTGTGAGGATCTATACGATGAATGTCGTACGCTAGAGCGCACGCGCACAACTGCGGTACTGTTTAGTTTTCTAGTAAGATAAAACTGACGATTAAAAATAAATACAGGAATCGATTTACTTACTCCATTGACTTATTATAGTTTCGCCGTTTGATTAGGCGATGTAAGGGTCCTCAGAATAGAGAGGTAAAGATACAGCCAAATAAGCTAGCCAAGAACTAGCCGTCCCTCGTTTGTCTACACTCACATGGCTTTCTTATTACGGGATATCTACAAGAACCGCTTGGCATTTTTTTTTGATGAATCAGGCCATTACTCATACGCCTACCGCTGTTCCCACCTTCAACCTCCCCATCCCGCCTGTGTCTGTCTTCTTACTTTGTTTCTCGCCTTCGCTTTGTACGTCTATCTTCCATCCATATATCGTCTCTGTCTACCTAAATCAAGCGCATACGCTCCGAGAGAGTTACCACACTTGGGATGCTAGCAGGCTGGCTGATTCTGTCTTGGATATTCCACGGCCACGGGTACAACGATGGATCTAATCTGCTTGTATGTGCGCTGATCTGGTGCTATGTCTGAGAATCTAGCTGGCATTGTTGCATGCCCTAAGCTTATTACGTCACCGGTTGGTTGACGACACTGGGCGCTCGCATCAAGGATAGGTAGAAGGCTGCGTCCAGTGGACAGACGAACGAGTATTGCTGTTGACTGACTTAGCAGCTGGCGTTAGCTTACTACTGTTGTCGGATAGAGAATATATCAAAAGGCACAGGTGATTACGTTAACGACTAATACGTAGCTTTGATCCCCATTTCTGTCTGAGGCTCTGATTTAGATCCTAGTGACAAGTATGACAGAAATCGCGACTTCAACAATGATGTCATGTCCTGTATCATGATCGGGAATGATTTACATACGTACGTAACACGGAAAATCTGGAAATTTCAACGTGTGAAGAATGACATCTGCACGAAGCACCTATGAATAAGTTTACAAGCTTTTCATCCACAAGATTATCTATTTACCAGAAACTAATGTACATTATATAACGAAGTCAGTAAGTACACACGTATAACGTGCGTGTTCGAACATTCTATAAGTCGTTAGAAGTGAAGGGGAATCGGCAGGGTTGCCAAATACGGTATATGGCGCCCAGTAGGAATGCAGAGTGTAGGACGGGGACCGCGCCTTGCAAATCTAAAAATCAATAAAAGTTTTTCATTTTAATACATTTCCTGCTGTCTGACGTTGATACCGGTCCGTCAGAGACTTCTGATCATTAATGCTATTTCTCTTTTCTTCCCATAATCGTCGGTTGGTTTGGGACAATTGAGCTTAAGGAAGGTTGTACGTTTCAAGCAGAATTATACTTAGTATTTTCACAAACCAAACACAGTAAAATGAAACTGCAAAAACTGGATATTTATATTAAATAAGGAAATTTTCACATCTGTTCTTGTTGAAAAAGTTTTCAAAAGTCAGGTGTATTGTAAAATCCAAGAAACTCTTCAGTCAACGCGGTAAGTAACCATTAGCCAACGTTGTAGACCTAGAAGCAACAACGAGCCGTACAGCCTTATCTGTGGGGATTAGATTAAGCTTCAATTACGTATAAATATTGTAATGTGTATTTTTCAAGACAGAAGCTTCTCCTTGAAAAAGGTTAACCTCTACCAAAATCCCTCAAATACTGATGAAGAGAATTTTGATATAGATCAAGATATAGCTAACATAAGAATTTATAACTAAATTAAGCGATTTTCCATCATTCTAATGGCACACAGTAGCTGAAGAAGATGAAGTACGAACGAGCGAAAATGTGATTTGGGCATGAATCTAATTACACTTCTCAATTCTATATGAAGCGTGTGTGATATCGTGTTCTTCGATGTGCTCGCATCGGTGATCCGTTACGATTTCCGGCATGAAATTCACACAGTAATAACGTTCAGCGTAAATATTCACAGACACACACACACACACAGAGGTAAAATACAGTACAGATGATAACGGATCCCCTTTTTTATTGTGGCGGAAAAAGGGATAGAATATATCTGGAAGAAGCTTCCGTTCTTAATAGCGAAATTTTAAAAGAACATTTTTCGTAACCCATTTAATATCTTAGCGCCATGTTACCTTTCAAGTAGGGCTCCGTTCGCCTAGTTTCTGTTCTTTGCTTTGCGCTCCTGCGGCGACAGTTCAAAATAGTTCAGAACCGGTGTTGCGCTTCCAGTTAGGGCTCCCCAGACAGACCCAACCCACTTACGCGCTAATGGGCTAACGGGTAATCATGCAACGAAGCGCGAAAGCCGCTGATGACGCGGCTGTGATCGTGAGCTGTTTGGAGTCAGAGAAGCAATGATATAGAACTATGTTTGCATGCTGGAGGCGACTGAACGGTCCACAGTTTGTGACAGTCTCCACATGGTGCCCACAACGGCGGCTGCACACGTACGTTCATTTCTCGCTAGCTATGGCAGGTCGAGCGCTGGATCGTTCATTTTCTACTTTACTCCCCAAACACTTCGTATGCTCCGCCGGCCTCTTTGAGTGCTAGCATTAGGTGTCTCTTCGTGCCGTGAAGCTTCCTGTCTCCTGTTTTTCTCATTCGAATTTTCCTCGTCTCGAGTTGCTCTAGGGCTAACTGAACAGCGCCAGTATCTCGTTCCTATAATACGATGGCTGTTGGTGGTTATGGTAATGACAGAAGCAGCATTAGCAGTCGTCGTGGTGCTAGCCGGACTTGACTGGACCTATCCTGATAGCCACAGGCGAAAACTCGAACAACGTACTCACGCAGACAGACTGCGTGAGTGCGCGGTGGCAGTCAGTCTGCTTGTCACAGTATTTAGGTCGCTTACCGCCTCCAAAGGTCCATCTGAGAGGGGGGTTATCGATGACGACCGCGACAACCACGGCAACAACAACAACATCAATGCTCTTTAAGCCACTAGCACCAAGTATATTTATAAGGTATGGGCGAGCCAGAAAGTCAAACAAACGAGTTAGTTTGACCGCCCTGCTATGAACCCAGGCGAGGCTTTAGTCAAGTTTCGTCTGCTTGTTGTCAGGATCTTGCTTGTTTACGCACTCCCTCTCCTTTGAGTTTCAGTGAAATGTTTTGCCTGGGGCATAGAGGCGCTGGCTGGGAATTAATCGGGCATTCGACGAGCGTCCGTTTCCGCTGTTAAGCATCACTACTGTATTAGCTCACCCACTATTAGCCAATGACTTAGGCATATACATACCTCAAGCAATCTATCAGTGACAAGAGACACGAGATCGGCAAGGCATGCAGCCAAAGATACGGCTATGTTGCTACTGCTTCTGCGGCTTTTTTGGGTTTTTAGTTTCTATTGCTGCTACAGCCTTCTTTTTTGGCGATACTGATACTACCTTGAGTCCTTTCATCGTGTTACCTTAGTGTGCACACGCTTCTGCACCCTGGCCGGGTAAGCCCATGGATTTGGTAAGTAGCTGATTCGAGTCCTGTATCCACTTGGTTATGGCGTTAAGCAGGCCGCATGTTGGACCAGAATCCAGAGCAAGCTTTCTCCTTTCCCAGTGGCTCTTTGCTTTTATTGGCCAATAAGGCGAGGACGCAAGGGGGGAGTCGTGGCACACACGTACTTCCGGAAATGTAAAGAAGTAGGGACGAAATCACTTGTAATCGGACGGCACCTAACCTAGGAAAACCCAACCCGTTTTCAGTCTCGCATTGCAGTCAGAGCAGCAGTGATGGTAGTTGCTAGAGCGGGCAGCTTAACTGTGCTTCTACCGAGCCAGTAGAAACGGGCGGCCTTAGAGGCTGTATGTATGTGTCGTCTGCACATCGACCTGAAATTGGCTTTACCTTCCCCCGCACTGTCTGCGAGACTTCGTTTCGACTGCTCGTCGGGTAATGAGAGGCATGAGTTTGTGACGAAGTCTACCTCTATTTCTCTCTATTCCTATGTCTTGCTTTCAGAAGAAGTGCTCCCTTTCGTCTTTTGGAGCAGCAGCTGACCGATGACAGTCGGACGGTCTCCTGCTCGTACCAATCTTGCCGCTGCTGGCCACAGATTCTGTACGATAGCAGCACATAAGCACAGGCAAGACTAGGTGGCAATAAAATGGCCTTGGCAAGCTACTCGGAGGAAGACACGCAAGCAGGCAACCAGAAGGCGGCGCTGTCCGTTCGGCCCCCAATCATTACCAAGTGGCACACGCAACATCAGTGGTATGGCAATCGAGAACTGCGTGGCTGGACACACGGACGAACGGGAGTTCACATCTGCAGAAAGTAGCAAGACTTCGTACTTGACGCAATCTAGTTCTCACGCTTACTCTCTCATCGTACCGCAACGACGGTAGCGGCAGCAGCAAAAAAGAGCAGCAGCGGCAGCGCTCGTGGCGTTGTTAGTATCGTAGTTGTAGTAGCAGCAACAGCACCAGAAGTAGCTGGTTACTCGAGAGTCGTTGTACCTCCGAATGCCTCGTACTATCTCTTTTCATTCGTTGCCGCCCTCGTCGCCTTCCTTGCATACTTCGCCCTTCTTTGGGTGTAGCCAGTAGGGGCCGTATTCTGTACTCAAAGTGCTAGCGTGCTGTTCTTGGCCTGCTGACGAATGGGAAGAGCTTTGTCGTCTCTGTTTTGCAAGAGGAAATGACAACAGAGACCGTTCAAGAAACTTTCTGTCTCAACTCGCCTCCTTTCCGCACTTTTTCTTTTTCGCTACTGTGCTTTTCG